CATGTACCAAATGTTAATTTTGGATGAGGGAAACTGGAACTGAGCACTGGGATACTGTCCCTTAACTAGAATGCATTCAATATAATTTAATGTGCTTAAATCTGATCGTCAGTGCATATACTGACTTGTTTGCTCTTTAGCTACTAACATCCCGCCTCAGATATTGTTTTTTTCTGTGTTGAAACATTCCTAACAGTGAACTAAGCTATATTGTAAAAATAGTATTTCAACAGAAGCCAATAGTGTTCATAGTCTTATTTACCAGTTGTGATTTGTCATACTATATGTTATGCCTAATGCCTTTTATGTCAGATCAACAATTCCTTCTGTATCTTTAATGCTTAAACTGAAATTGTATGTCTTTTTTTCCTGTTCTGTCTTTTTACTTTGGATCTGTTAACCCGGAAATGTTTACTTTTTTCATTGACGTTAAAGGAATGGCTACTGCTTTATAATGTGTTCTCTTTTAACAAAGTACTTCCAGTGTAGCAGTGAGACCAGCGCCTTTCTTTGGGAGATGGCTCTAAAACTGCAAACAGACAAGTACCTGCATTTGAAATGAAAAAAAAAAACAATAATCATGTATGATGCAGATCTCATTCCATCCCTTTGCCATCAGTAATATTTGTATGGCACAGATTTGAGCATGCTTGTGTTGTGTGCATCTTACTTTGCCAGAATGAATTTGCATCTTGCCACCATTGTAACCACAATCCTTTTCCACTTCCCCTCATGCTGTATGCCTATACATACATGATTAAAATGGTTAAAGAAATCAAGAAACAAAATACAAAACAATATTTCTGAAACAAAATCATAATAATGGTTTTTATTTTTGTATTTTTGTGGTACAGATTATTGCCAATGTCTCTTATGTCTTATTTTCAGCAATAGGGAAAATCCACATTTTGTGCAATATGTTAAAACTGCTAAGCCAAATGTCATTCTACACAATCAGAGCTATATGTTATTATTACTTATTGGCATTCACATTGGTATTACATTATACTGGGAGTTTTGTCCATTAAAGAGACAGTATTCATTTTTCAAAAAAATGGTAGCTGAAGGGTGTCCTTCCTTACAATGAAAGTAGAGAACTGGACTTTGTGAATTAATAATATTCAGGCTTATTGGAGGAGTTTCCCATATTGGCCCTATACATAAAATAGTGCTTTAACCCTGACACTACTGTACACATATTCTTGTAAAGGACAGTAAAAATAACAGTGCAACTCTTATCATTGCTGTGATGAGTGGTGAACAGTTGCCTGTCAGCCAAGAATTTTCCTGTGATGACATCCCTTCAAAGTTGAGGAAATAACATTGTTTTGTCATTTAGGTAAGTGAAAATCACAGCTCTGTTTTAATGTGCACATAATTAGGTTAAGAAGCTAATCAATTAGCAAAGTGAATGTTCACTATGAATACACAATCATATGCAATGGGGAAAAAATGGATTTTTGCATGCACATGAACACAAATTCACATGATTCACTAAACTAGTTGAACATTCAGTTATCTGAACAGTCTCTACTCCTTTAGTTAATCAACCCCAGTGTCTTTTGGTAGGTTCCCCCCTTCCCAAAAAAAAAAAAAGATTACTTGATAGGGTTAATAAGTAGGGTGAGTGGATTGTAGATCGTAATCCACGGAATCATCAAAAAATGCACATGGGAATCCCAAATGAACACTGGAAAAATGTCCTTGTAATGTGCACTTTATACTGTTAAGCCTGCAATAATCTAAATTGGAAGTCGCAACTGTATAGACATTCAGTTAACGTCAGAACAACATCCTGCAGTATAAATCTCATAACAAGTTGAGATTCACTGGAGGATTGTTAGATCACTTCTCTGCTCACACCTAATAACAAAGTCAACAAAGTAAGAATCTATTTAACTTGTATAGCCTTTGAAGTGAATAGAGGTTCAATGTACAGACATAAATGATGTGCACTTTAGGTAAATTGTTTCTTATAAAGACATTGCAAAGCCAAGTAATTAGCAACTACCCCTTTCACATAACTAAATATAGCATTATATACAGTAGATAATGCAAGTGACAACAAATGACCAGATAAACCTTTTGTGACTAGCACAATGAAAATGAAATGTTTATATAAAACCACATAACACATACTTTATATAGCCACACCAATGATAATAAAAACAAACTGTCATAGGACTTGTCTATGAAACCTCAGAAAGAAGCTGCCATGCTCTGATTCCCATGTGAGTCTGGTTGCAGGTAAATTCACAGCTTGTATTGCACAGAATGCCAACTACAAACAACCCCAGCAGGAGAGCACCGCTTATGGTAACACTCACAGTTCAGTTCAATGCAGAGATACAGCAAAGATGCACCGACAGCATCTGTCTTCAGTGGGCGGAATATGGAATCCTGTTCCAAAGGGGAGGCTTCCATGAAGGGTTGAGTCCCTGATCTGTCTCTACTCATCTGAAACCATTCCTTGCTGCTATAACTTTCCCTGACAGATGGGTGCTCTTGCCCTACTCTCGCCACTTTGCAAATGCGTGACAAAACCTGGAGGCAGTGACTTATAAAGACTCTGGTGACCCCATATTGCCACCAGGGGTCATATGCATGTGGCGTAGCCAAGCGAAAAGCTGTCTTCAGGTACCCAGAAGCTCCACAGAGAAAGCATGTTTTCCCCTGACCTCCTCTCTGGGCTGTGGTACTGCCCAAGTTGAGCTCTACCTACAGTGTGGAGGAAACAGACTGCACCTGCCTACACCCAGATTGGAGACTTGTTTATGGAGACTGAAACTGACCTATTCAGCTTCATTACAACTTATGTTGATACTGTTTATCATGTGACAGGTAGAATCCATGATATTTGCAGAATGAATCTTTGTTTTTCTCTATTTATGTTACTATGAAAGTGTTTGCATATTCTACAGTACAATGTCTAAGCCCCCAATCTGTCGTTTTTAGGTTTGCTATATTTTTTGCTTTTTTTAGGAATGAAGGTCCATCAAAAAAATTAGCCAATTAAATTGTTCCTTCTTTACACATTGTTCCAAATTGTCATGATGCTTGAAGTGATTCTAAAGGTATAATTAAAAAAACAAACAAACAAACAAACAAACAAACATGCCTAAACTTACCTGCTGTGTGCAGTGGTTTTGCACAGAGCAGCCCAGATCCTCCTCTTTTTGGGTCCCCTGCAGGTTCCCCAGGCTCCTCTCTTTTGTCGGGTGCCCCCTGCTGTGGGCCCCATCCTCTCTCTCTCTTCTCATTGGTTCATGATTGACAGCAGCGGGGGCCATTGGCTCCCGCTGCTGTCTCACTTAATGAGAAGAGGGAGTCCTGAGATAGCCGAGACTCCAGTAAACATCTCTGGATCAAGAGGGGGCTTAGGTGAGTATTGGGGGGGCTGGGAGGGATACAGCACACAGGGACATACAGCATACAGATGCATGAATGTAAAAAACCTTCAGTCTTTACAACCAGCTTGAGTCTCTACTAGGAGAAACTACTGCAAAAACCATTCCACTAAGCCACAAGCAGAAATGCATGGATTGTATATAATATTTTTTTGCACTGATGAAGGTTTATCTTCTAGTTAATTTGTATTGGTGCAACACTCAGCACATCCCATAGAACCTTTGAGTTATATATCATCATGTAGACATGCAGTTATACTAAAAAGTCACAAAATCTCTATTTTTACGGCTCATGTTAGCAGTAGATAGGTGTGAGAAACCTCTTCACTTTTCCAAAAGAGATGCACTAGGGAAATGGTACAGTCCACATCTCAATCCCATTTAGGTTACTTTTACACTCCTGGACCAATGAAGGACTATTACTTGTTTCCTCTAAGGGCTTGTTACAGATTTTGTTAGCATTTAACAAGAATTATACAAAAAATGTGGCAGTCAAGTCTTGGAGGACTACCCTGTGCCACAGAAATTCATTACAGAGTGATTTAGAGCTGGGGGCTCAATGGGAGGCACCTAGAGCCATGCTATGAATGTGCTACAAGGAGCCAAGGTAAATGAGGTGAAGGGTGTCCATGTGTGTCTGGTTGAAAGGATGTACAACACTGGCTTTGCTTCATGTGCTTTTGAATATGAATGAAAGTAAGCAGTCAGAAAATATTGTAGTGCTAGCATTCATACTTCCAAAAAGGCACCCCAAGAGTCAGACTCAAAAGAAAAATGTAAGGATTTAGTGTTAAGATATATACAATATACAGTGCTCAGCATAAATACACCCCAACAGATCTGTCAGAAATCCTTTACTTTTCTTTCAGAATCAAAATTTTCTATGGGACACTATACTACAAAATACTCCCACAAATGCAGGCCATTGATTGCAAACAAGATTTGTTAATTTGCATACACAAAAAAAAGTATTTTTCCTAACAAATTTATCAAGACCGTGTTGCAAAAATGAATACACCCCAATGAAAGTCTTAGGAGCAAAGCTAAATTTTTGACAACAAAATCCTAATTAACAAGACTTCAACTACAGATGAGTCTAATTATTCATTAAACAGGTGTCCAGCAGACAGTTGATTATAAAAGGGTGTTACTTACCAAACAAAACCCCTTCCCATTTCATGTTGTCAGCAATGGCTCCTCATTGAAGAGAAATGTCACAAGCCCTGGGAAAGAAAATAATTTCTTTACACAAGAAAGGTGAAGGCTACAAGAAGATCAGCAACGTTTTACTTATCAGTCAGAATACTGTAGCAAAAGTTATACAAAAAATTAACAACTTAATTAAAAAGAACTGCAACCATCTCACAGAGACATCAATGGAAGCTAACTCCTTGACAGGAGCATCTTCTGCGGAGAAGAGTTGAAGAAAATTTCCATGCAAGTCCACTGCAGTTAGCTAAAGAAGTAAAAAGTCAAACTGGAGTGATTGTTTCCCATGCCACAATATGGCATACACTGTAGAGGAATGGCATGCATGGGTGTGTTGTCCACGAAGGAAGTCTCTCATAAAGTCCATGCCTAGAATTTGCCAGGGCCCATGCTGAAAAAGAAGAAGACTCTTAGACTCTACACTCTGGAGTGATGAGACCAAGATATATGTTTTTGAAACTGATGGCTTCAAAACTGCATGGCATCGCAAACGTGAGGAGTACAAAGAAAAATGCATGGTGCCAACCAGTGACACATGGTGGTGGCAGTGTCCTTCTGTGGGTCTGCATGAGTGCTGCTGGTCTCAGGGAGCTGCATTTCATTGATGGTATCATGAATTTGCAGATGTACTGCTCTATATTGAAAGAGAAGATGCTACCATCACTCTGTGTCCTTGGCCGTCGTGCACTATTTCTACATCACAGTGATCCATAACACGCATCTGAGGCCACTGTTGAATTTCTGAAGGAGAACAGGGTGAAAGTGATTCAGTACCCAAGTATGTCTCCTGATCTGATTCCAAATTGGACACTTATGGGAAATTCTGAAGAAACAAGTTGAGCATCACTCTCCATCCAGCATCCAGGCTCTAAGAGGTCATTCTTGAAGAATGGAAAAAGATAGATATTGCAATATGTTGCCAACTTGTTCATTGCATGCCTAGAAGACTTGGTGCTGTCCTTACAAATCCTTACAAATCATGAAGGTCATAAAAAATACTAGATGTAGTAGTTTTTTGTTGTGGGGTGTATTAATTTTTTGCATCAACTAATTTGCGTAAAACTGAAGATTTTGTAATTTAAGCTATATTATTAACCTTACTTTCCTGTAATGAGCTAAAAAAATGTTCTATAAAACTCATTTTTGTTAAAACTTTGGACATTTGTCTTGTGTTCATTGAGGTATTGATTAAAATCTTACTTTTCAAAAGGGGTGTACTCATTTGTGCTGAGCACTGTATATACAGTATAATATAATAAAATATCACTATAACCAGAACAGAAGAATCCTACATAGGATATAAGGGATAGGGTGTAGGAAAGTTTAGTGGTACCCAGAATCAAAGTCACAGTGTCAGATATGTCATCAAGTTAAAGTTAACAACCTTCCTGCTAGTTATAACTCACTGCTACTTTGTGAGAAAGAAGGAAACAACAAACCTGTCTCTGCTGGTGCATTCCTAATGCTCCCATGGACTACTAAAACTAAAATGGAAAATTAAAATAAATGGTGTTGTGGTAGGTCAGTTTTCCAGAAAGCAAATCTAAAGATGGATTCTTCAGTGCTATTGAGTTGATAAACCATACAAAGAAGCAGGCATTTAATAATCATAATACTCACCTTGTCCCTATAACATCTTCAGTCAAAAACTGTCTCTGAGACACTAAAATACCATTAAAGACTCCTGCCGAGTTATTTTCTTAAATTTGTTTGAAGTTTTGTGTCTTCCTTAAAGTGCATCTAAAGCTATACTTTTTTTTTCATATATCATGTGGAAGGGTTAAAACTCTTGTGAAGTTTTAATACTATCTGTGCCCCCCCCCACCCCCGATGGGAGATTCACTCTCTTCTTCTGTCCTGGTGACCACTTTTACCAAGAAAAAATTATAGTAAATCCAGAATTGTACAGCTGTCCCCAAAAACAGGCAGAGGGGAATCTTCCAATGTGGATATGTGTTCTACAGATTACGGCCTAAGAGGGAATTTTTTGCTTACTTTGGGGAGGGAGACAGACACTAAAAAATCAGATGCGGATTTTAACTGTTGCATACTTATTTTTTAACCTCTTCCTGCCAACAGTATGCAGATATGCGACCTAACGGAAGTGGGTCTTTATCCGTAGATCTTCATATACACGTACATGTCTTTGTGCTGGGAGCACACCGCACAATCTCGTACTAATGTTAGAGACCCGGGACTCCCAGTAGCCAGTCACATGATCACTGTGATAGCATCTGATTGCTCATCACAGTGATCAGTCAATGTATAGCCTGCCTATGTGTTTCCTTTCTCTTCTGAATGGAGAGAAAGATGTAAAAATTACAAAAATATAAAAAATAAAGAGAAATAGCTAGATCAAGGTTTGATCTAGGTAAGTGCCAAGGTTAGTGTTACTGTCAAGGTCAAAGGTCAATGTAATTGTCAAATACCAGGGTCAAAGGACAGGACAGTATATTTTGGATTATCAGCTTACTTTGCTTACTTTGGGGAGGGAGACAGACGCTAAAAATCAGATGCGGATTTTAACTGTTCCATACTTAAACCTCTTCCTGCCAACAGTATGCAGATATGCGGTACGGAAGTGGGTCTTTATCCGTAGATCTTCATATACACGTAATTTGTGCTGTAGCACATCTGATCATCACAAAAATTATAGCCTTTTGACTTTCTTTGAATGGAGAAATTATGGTAAAAATTCAAAAATTAAGAGAAATAGCTAGATCAAGGTTTGATCTAGTGTTACTGTCAAGGTCAAAGGCTCAAATACCAGGGTCAAAGGACAGGATCAGTTATTTTGGGTGGGATTGATGATCAAAAATTGTCACGATCATAAAAATTAGATATCTTTGGTTAGAAATATATAAAAAAAAGTTTTTAAAAAAAAGTTTTCCTATGATGATAAAAAAAGGCCAGATATATTTATTATTATTTGAGCATTGAGCATTGCTGCCAGAAGTTACAGTAACCGTCAATTAGCAAATCTGGACTGTAAAGAATTATGATAATGATGCTAAGACACTTAAAGCATGGCAGATCCCTGGGATAAGGTAGGTGGCCACAGGGGAGTATGGGTTGGCATGCAAGTCAGCATGAGGAACTCAGGAAGAAAAATAATTGAAAATAGTACTTATGGATATCCACATTTGGCAGAACCTATAATGGTCCTACCTAATGGCAAGGTTGAGTGTTAGGATCTGAAAATAAAGGGTTAACATAACTAAAAGACAAACAGTATGTGCCTTCACATGAAAGGTACAACTCTGGTGGCCATGCTGGGTTTATTTGCTCTACAGAGACAGAAAGAACATAAAGCAACCCCAATGTGTTTTAGCAGAAAAGAAGACATGGGGAATCTGATTAGCACTCAGACAAGTTTACTGTTTAAAGAAGTAGCTTGTTGAACTCATAGCTGTGCAGCATTGATGTGGGCTACAGGTTACAGCAAACTCATATGGGTTTGTCTAATATCTGTTCACTGAGGATGGCTGTACTGTATCCTTAATATTGCACTGTATTCTGAACATTGAGTTGATCAAATGAATATTTATAGACCAAAGTAAGTGGAAACTACCAGAGTTGCATATATTTGCATGGTTTCATAGCATACACATATGTGTAAGGAGTGATTAGTGGAGGCTGACCCAAAAAGTGTAGTGCTATCATGATTTCACAGATTTTAGAGAACCACAACTAAATATTTGAAAGGTAAGACTGCTGTGTTTTACAGACTTAATGAGTACCCGGTCTTTCTTAATTTTTAAAGAACTTCATCCATGGCTTGTTTAATGCACACCTCTGGTTACTGGGCTATTTTCAATCCTTGTATCTATCCATTGGCTGAATTTGAAAACAAATGAGGAAAGTTCTACAGGCATTTAAAAGAGAAGTGTGGTATGTTAAAACACAAAACAAACACACATACCCACCTCGGTGGATGCAGCTGCATCTGTCCATCATTGCCTCTACACTGCGAACTGAGTGATCAAAGACAACTGATCGCTCAGTTCACAGTTGTCAGTGAGCAAAGAGCTGGTGACTGTCCCTCAACGGCTCTCTGCTCTGCCCCTGCAGTACTAACTGAAACTGGGTGATCCCAATATTAAAGTAAGGATCTCTCCAGAGCTTGGACCGGACTGAGCCTAAGGCTAAACAAGGGTCACAGGAGTGTAGAACGAAGTGCACTACTGTGATCCCCAGAAGAAAAATGGCCAAAAGAGCTTTGGCTCTACTTCTCTTTTAAGTCCTTTCAAAATGAGAAAATGTACAACATAATGTTTCAAAGATAGGATGATTTCTTGCCATGCAATGTTTTCAGTGTGACTTCCGCCCATCAATGAAAACCAAAACAAATTTTTGTTGAATTGTGTAATTTTATGTATTCTTATACATTGCATTATTATAGTCATTATTAAGAAAAATTGGCAAAAAAATTCATCTTGGTGTGGAGCCGAAGAGAAGTTGCAGTTTTTTTTTTCTAGAAATCATACTTACCTAGGTGGATATAGCATTGCTCTGATGCTGCATCTGTCCCCTTCTGGCTCTAAGGCTGAGAACTGGGAGATCAAAGATCGCTGGTCAATCAGTTCTCAGTGCTCCGTGAGCAGAGAGCTGGTGACTGTTAGTCACCGCTCTCTGCTATGCCCCCCACTGGAGCGCTGGGCTGTGGAGCTGGAGGGAGTTGCTGGCTCAGGCTCTCCACAGATCACTGCTAGTCTGAGCCAGGGGCCAGTCCAGACATCTGGGTGGATTCCAACTTTAAAGTCAGAATCTTTCCCCAGTCTGAACCGTCTGAGTGATGTCATCCAAAAGCGGACTTTAGCCTGCTGTCAGCTGTCAGCTGAAAACTGGTCACAGGAGTGGAAAATGAACTGCACTCCTGTGATCTACAGGACAAGTACAGCCAAACATGCTTTGGCTGTACTTCTCCTTTAATACTGAAATCAAAGTATCAAAGGGGTCACACATTTTGTATGTATTAATATTCTTCACATAGGAGAGGGTAGAATAATAGGATACTACAATTGTGCTCAACAGTTTGCATACCCTTGGAGAATGGGTGGTATACAGTATGCACCATTTTTAAAGAAAACATGAGTGAGTGCGCAAAAAACATATTTCTTATGGGATTCATATTAAACTTTAGCTTATAGCAGAATAGCACAATAATAAAACAAACATGGGGAGAGATTTACAAAAATTGGAGCACTCAAAATCTGGTGCAGCTGTGCATGGTAGCCAATTGGCTTCTAACTTCAACTTGTTCAATTAAGCTTTGCCAATAAAACCTGGAAGCTGATTAATTTCCATGCAGACCTGCAGCAGATTTTGCACTCTTCAGTTTTAGTAAATGACCCCCATGGCAACAACTAAACAAATGGAATGACCCCTGTTAAAAAGTCTGCATACCCCCAGTTCTTAATATTTTAAATTGCCCCCTTTAGCATCAATGATGGTATGCAGTTTTTTGTAATAATTGTCTATGAGGCCCCAAATTCTTTCAGGTGGTATAGCTGTCCATTTGTCTTGGCAAAATGCCACCGGGTCATGCAAAGTCTTGGTTGTCTTGTATGAGCTGCATGTTTGAGATCTCCCCAGAGTGGCTGATGATATTAAGGTCAGGAGACTGTGAAGACTACTCCAGAACCTCCACCTTTTTCTGCTGTAACCATTAGAGGGTCAACTTGACCTTGTGCTTAGAGTCATTGTCATGCTGGAAAGTCCAAGAGCATGCCATGCGCAGCTATC